TCACCAACGCTTACCCCCTTCACCCCCTTCATTCTGGGTCTTCCGCTGTATTTCTTTCCTATGAGAATTCCTTTGCTGATCTTAGAGTTTCCAAGAAGCAAGTAGGTGGTTTTCAGTTTTCTCTCTAATTCCCAGCATATATTCCATCAGCCTGCCCCTCCATCCATCCATCCAACCATCCAAAAAAATAAGACCTTTCACTATGCCAGGCATATGTCTGCACGAGAGAACATTAGAACATGACCAGCAGAGGAGCTAATTGTCATTTAAATTCTAGAGAGGGAGTGAAAACATCTTTTAAAAAAAATACATAAGCCCACAAATACTGAAATCCAGTAAACTCTGAAAACTGGAAGTTTTTTTGCAAATTTGGCATGAACTCATTTGGTGACAAAAGCTGGCCTGGACTGCCATGAGGTTACTTATGGTCCTTCTCATCTGCACTTCGTGTGAATATTCATGTAGTTCAGTGCAGAAATACGGCTGTGTTTAGCGGGAGTGCCCTGGACTCGTTTCAAATATGGGACCACAGACTTGCATTCTCTCCCCTCTAGTTTAATGAGTGTCCTGACAAGCAAGATGAAAACGTCCCTTTGCTTTTCGAAAGTTTTATATTTTACAAGTAAGTGAGTATGTATATGGGAGCATACTGTTTCAATGTCTGTAAATATTTAAATATATTTGTTTTATATTTAAAATGTATTTATATTATGATTAAATTTTATATTCAAATATATAAATATTTTAAGATAAAATACATAAATATATTTTATATCCGTTTTAATATTTTAATATGTATTTCAAAATATTTAAATATCTATGTTTACTTATTTTATTGTTATTATTATTTTTTGGAGATGGAGTTTTGCTCTTATTGCCCAGGCTGGTGCAATGGCAAAATCTTGGCTCACTGCAACCTCCACCTCCTGGGTTCAAGCAATTCTCCTGCCTCAGCCTCACAAGTAGCTAGGACTACAGGTATGCCACCACAGCCAGCTAATTTTGTATTTTTAGTAGACACGAGGTTTCTCCATGTCGGTCAGACTGGTCTTGAACTCCTGACCTCAGGTGATCTACCCGCCTTGGCCTCCCAAAGTGCTGGGATTACAGGAATGAGCCACAGTGCCCAGCCAAAATATTTAAATATTTAATAAATAGCTATCAACTTTAGAAATAAATATATACTCTAAGATATGGTTTATTCTGGCCCCGGAAGTTTACGAGCAAAATAATCACTAGCTACCATAAAAATCCACAGGCTGAGAGGCCAGGTACAGTGGCTTACGCCTGTAATCCCAGCTACTCAGGAGGCTGACACAGGAGAATCGCTTAAGGCTGGGAGGCAGATGTTGCGGTGAGCTGAGATTGCACCACTGCCCTGCGGCCCAGCCTGGGTGACAGAGTGAGACCCTGTCTCAAAAACAAAACAAACCAACAAAAAAATCCACAAGTACATTTAAAACTTTGACTCCATTATAATATTAAAGTTAAGCTAATTTAATATTTTAATTAATTATAACTCTCACGTAAAACTAAACAATTAGATCTAAGGAATAAGACCCAGATAAATGATTCTTCAGCACCTCCATATGTGGTGAGAACCATCCTTAACAGTACTTCAGTAATAAACAGTGTTGAAAGATGAGCAATATCCTCACATATACATTGAGGTAATGTGTGCCCTTTATGCAGAAGGTATCAAGTGATCTCAAATAACTTGTCCTGTTACTGAGGTAATTAATAACTCTGTCTCTCTCTTCTCAGATTCAGTGGTTTATAAGAATGAACCTAAAGAACTAAAATAACTGAGCATTGCTTTCCCTGCAGGCGCAAACTATTTCAGAACCCGTTCCGGACCCAAGTCTGAGGAACTGTCACAAAATCACAGAAACAGCGAACTTTCCCATCATACACGGTAAGTTCCCTTCCATACCACAGTTGATGAAAAAGCACTAGTGATTCAAGAACTTAAATTCTTTTCATAGGGAGGTTACTGGGAGCTCTTCTCTGGTCACAATAGGTGAGTTGCCATTTCTAAGGTTATTTTACAATCAGTTCAAGTCTTTAAACTAGAGCAGGACAAAGTACAGATGCCCCTTTCCTCCTTATCCAGAAGGACAGGAGGTACGGATCTTTCCATAAGCAAACAATGTTTGAGGGCATGACATAAAAAGATAAAATGCAGCCGGGCGCGGTGGCTCAAGCCTGTAATCCCAGCACTTTGGGAGGCCGAGGCGGGTGGATCATGAGGTCAAGAGATCGAGACCATCCTGGTCAACATGGTGAAACCCCGTCTCTACTAAAGATACAAAAAATTAGCTGGGCATGGTGGCGCGTGCCTGTAATCCCAGCTACTCAGGAGGCTGAGGCAGGAGAATTGCCTGAACCCAGGAGGTGGAGGTTGCGGTGAGCTGAGATCGCGCCATTGCACTCCAGCCTGGGTAACAAGAGCAAAACTCTGCCAAAAAAAAAAAAAAGAAAAAAGATAAAATACATGTCAATGATATGTACATGAAAAAATATTTTTGGCCGGGCGCGGTGGCTCACTCCTGTAATCCCAGCACTTTGGGAGGCCAAGGCGGGTGGATCACGAGGTCAAGAGATCGACACCATCCTGGTCAACAAGGTGAAACCCCGTCTCTATTAAAAATACAAAAATTAGCTGGGCATGGTGGTGCGCACCTATAGTCCCAGCTACTCGGGAGGCTGAGGCAGGAGAACTGCCTGAATCCAGGAGGCAGAGGTTGCAGTGAGCTGAGATTGCACCATTGCACTCCAGCCTGGGTAACAAGAGCAAAACTCCGTCTCAAATAAAAACAAACCAAAAAAAAAAATTTTTTTTTAAGTATTTGTTGTTGCTTTGTGTCCTTATTACTACCGTTCCTTTGTTGGGGGGACTCTTAGTTGAAACAGAGAATGAAGCGCGTACAAGGTTTGATGCTTTGGATCTGCAGAGATGAAGCTGGCTGAGAGGGAAAGAACTCAAAGCCTGCACTGGTCATTTACAGCACAAAGCAGGAAAACGACTGCGAGGAGGCGCAAGACTAACAACACCCCAATCCTCATTCTACGAATGAGGCCTGGGGGGGAGGCGGGGATAAGGCAGCCCGCCCTGGGTCTGGCTCTCCATCCGGCCTTCTCCCTCCCCCATTCCTGCGGCACAAATAGGACTTTAAAATAGGAAGACTGCCGGGCGCGGTGGCTCACGCCTGTAATCCCAGCACTTTGGGAGGCCGAGGCGGGTGGATCACGAGGTCAAGAGATCGAGACCATCTTGGTCAACATGGTGAAACCCCGCCTCCACTAAAAATACAAAAAAAATTAGCTGGGCATGGTGGCGCGTGCCTGTAATTCCAGCTACTCAGGAGGCTGAGGCAGGAGAATTGCCTGAACCCAGGAGGCGGAGGTTGCGGTGAGCCGAGATCGCGCCATTGCACTCCAGCCTGGGTAACAAGAGCGAAGCTCTGTCTCAAAAAATAAATAAACAAATAAGAAGGATGAACCGCGCCGGCAGCCGCCAGAATGGCCAGGGCGCTTGGGGCTCCCGGGGGCCCTTGAAATAGCCACTAGGATCGGGAAACCCAACTTCCCAGCCGAGCAGCGAGGAAAACCAACAGGAACGGAGCCTGAGGCTGGTGGCGGGGGAGCGCGGTGGCTTCTCGGAGGAAAGGGAAATGAAATAAATGAGTATTTGGGGAGCGAGTGAGTGAGTGAGGGTGTGTGTGCGTGTGTGCGCGCGCACACGTGCGCGCACGCTGGGGGAGCAGGGGGTGGAGTTTAAATCCACAAACACACGCATTCGCACAACCTCGGGAGAAAATGCCACCGAGGAGTTTAGATTTTTTAACAAAATAATAAATCGAAAAGAAAAAAAGTTTTACTTGCGTTGGTGAAACTTTTCTTCTTTCCAGATGTCCTAAGTCGGGAGCTGCGGACGGACGTGCGGAGGGGATTCCCGGGGGGAGGGCACGAAAGGACTGGCGGACGCACGAACCCCCAAACTCAGGAATGTAGGGTCACAGGGAGAAGGGGAAGGGGTGTCCGAGGAGCTCTGAACCCGAGGATTTGGGGTAAAAAGGTGAGAAATGGTTCCCGGGGAAGCTCACTCGGGGAGTTTGGGATGAAAGGGTGAGAAGGAGTTTGGGATGAAAGAGTGAGAAGGGCAGGAGGGGTTCGCCCCAGGACAAACTCACCAGCTTTTAGTTAAGGAATGAGAAAAGCGTTCCAGGGGTGCCCCCAAATTCAGTATGTCTGGGAGTCTATTAAAAAGGGGTTTCCCGGGACAAGTCAAATCTAGGAATTTGGGGTAAAGATGAGAAGGGAGTCTTCGAGATCCCCCCAATGCAAGGAGTTTGCGGCTAAGAGTGACAGAAGGGCTCTGGAGTCACCCCAATTTCGGAGGTTTAGGGAATAAAGTAAGAAGAGAGCCCAGGTGCCCCCAATTCAGGGAGTTGAAGGGTATGAGTAAAAGAAGGGTCCCCAGATGCCCCCAACTCAGAGGTCTCGGGAGTAAAAATGAGAAGACGGTCCCCAGGTGCCCCTAATTCAGAGATTTTGAGCGTATGAGTAAAAGAGGGGTCCCCGGGTGCCCCTAACAGAGATCTGGGGAGCAAAAGTGAGAAGAGGACCCCCCCCCAGTGCCCCCAATTCAGGGAGTTTGAAGAGTCTGAGAGACGTTCCCGGGGCGCCCCCAACTCAGCGAGTTTGAGGGTAAGCAAAGAAAGCGGTCCCCGGACGCGCCAACCTCAGGAAGTTTTGTAGAAAGTGAGGCGACGGCGCCGCACTTCCCCCGCGTTCGGTCAAGAAGGAAAGTGGGAGCGTCGCCAGGGTCCCCCCAAACTCTGCCGCGAGCGCGGGACCGGGTGGTGGAGGCTGGTCCCGCGGGCGCGTCCCCGGACGTTTGGGGTGAGCGGCGGGGACGTGCTGCCCGCCCCCCGGTCCCCCGAGCCTGGTCCCCGCCGTCCCCCGCACTCGCCGGCCGGGCCGGTCGCATTGGTCACCTGGAGTTCGGGCCGGGAGTTCGGGCAGCAGCTCCCGCGGCGGCGGCAGCGGCTGCTGCGTGTTGGTCCCCGTTGGTAAGTAACAGTCTCCACGGCTACAGTCTCTATGGCGGCGGCGGTGGCGGCTGCGGCCGCTCCTCCTCCGGCTCCCGCCGCCCGCCAGCCTCGCGCCGCCTGCCCGCCCGACGGGGCGGAGCGTTGTTACCGGCAACGGTTACCAGGCTCCGCGCCCCGCCTCCCTAACGGCCCGCCCACGCCCGCCTCCAACGGGCCCGAAGAAGGCGTGGCACGAGACCCTACGGCGTCCCACTGGCTGTCTGCGGAGTCTGTCAGAAAAAGGGGGCGTTTCCCGCTGTAAAAGAGGGCGTGGTGCGGCCAATCGCCGCTGAGGGGGGCGGGTCTTGGCGGGAGGCGCGCGCGGCTTGGAGGGTTGGCGAACGGTAGGAGCGCGCGGGGCCGGGGGTTGGTGGCGGGTTTTCGGAAAGTTTAGTTTTAGGGGACCCAGAGGACTTCGTTTACTCCACAGGAGAAATATGGAACATGTGGGGACAGTCTGATCAGGGGTCAGCAAACTCTGGCCCGCGGCCTGTTTTTCACCGCCCACCAGCTGAAAATTTAAATATATATATTTTTTTACATGTTTAAAAGAAACAAATCTATCAAAAGGAGGTTTTGTGAAATGTGAACTTGATAGGAGACAACTTTATCGTATTGGGTCCAGTAATTTGAACTAGTTTAAAAGTTGGCAAACTGTGGCGTGTGGGTCAGATTCTGCCTGCTTGGGTTTGTAAATAAAGTTTTATTGGAACACAGCCACGCCCATTTTTGGGAACAGTTTGGAAGGCTGCTTTGACAGCACAGGGGCGGAGTGGAGTAGTTGCACAAAGACGGCCTGTCCCACGCAAAGCCTAAGATATTTACTATAGGGTTCTTTACAGAAAATGCTTGCCAAACTCACCACCCTCCTCTCAAGCTGGTAGATTTCAGCTATGAGTAGGACTGAAACAGACAGACCCTCATAGAGCTTTTATTCTAGTGAGGGAACAGAGACAGCAAACAGAATAAAGAAGTAAACTTATATAGTTATTGGAGACAAGGGGCTAGCACAATAGGAGAAAAAAGTTGGTACTTTTTTCAAACTTTTTGAAATCAAGGCAGGAGATTAGGCTTCAGCCCTCATTCATTCAATAAAAAAATCATATTAGAGAGTGCTGATTAAATTGTTATGTGCCAGAAAGTGATCTAAGCATTTTTAAAATATGCAAACTCCTTAAATATTACAATCACATCTTTAGAAAGATGCTAGGCATTATCCCCGTTTTTTGGCTTTTTCTTTTTTTGAAACAGAATCTCGTTGTGTCACCCAGGCTGGAGTCCAGTGGCACAATCTCAGTTCACTGCAACCTCTGCCTCTCAGATTCAAGCGATTCTGCTGCCTCAGCCTCCTGAGTAGTTGGGATTACAGGCGCATGCCACCACGCTAGCTAACTTTTGTATTTTTAGTAGAGAGGAGGTTTCACCATGTTGGGCAGGCTGGTCTCGAACTCCTGACCTCAAGTGATTCGCCGGCCTCAGCCTCCCAAAGTGCTGGGAATACAGGTGTGAGCCACCATGCCCTACCTATCCCCATTTTTCAGATCAGGAAACTGAGGCCCAGAAAGAATGAGTGAATTTGCCCAGTGTCAAACAGCTTGTGATGGATCAGAACCCTAGTAGTCTAGTGCCAAAGTCCATGCTCTTGATGGGGGGGTTCTCAAACATTTTGACCACAGCATACAACAGGAAATACATTTTACCTAGGGGCTCAGTCCACACAAACACATCTGTAACTAAAACAAATGATACTGTAACTGAGGTACCATGAAATGATACATGTAATGATAAAGTATCATTTAAAGTAACAAAATTATACTTTAATGCACTGATACTTCCTGTTCTGTTTCATGTTAATTAAAATGTTGACCGTAATTTGCTAAATTGATTTCATCGTCTTCTAATGGGATTTTTTTTTTTTTTTTTTTTTTTGGAGGCAGAGTCTCTGTTACCTAGGCTGGAATGCAGTGGCATGATCTCGGCTCACTGCAACCTCTGCTTCCTGGGTTCAAGCAATTCTCCTGTCTCAAACTCCAGAGTAGCTGGGATTACAGGTGCCTGCCACCACACCTGGCTAATTTTTGTATTTTTAGTAAAGATGGGGTTTCACCATGTTGGCCAGGCTGGTCTCAAACTCCTGACCTCAGGTGATTCACCCACCTTGCCCTCCCAAAGTGCTAGGATTACAGGCATAAGCCACCATGCCCAGTTATGTGACAGAATCTTAAGCTTAAATGGTCTACGGTAATCAGTCTCTTTCATTCAATTATTAATTTAGTCAAAAATATTTATTGAGGTCCAAGTGCAGAGGCTCATACAGAAGCATAGTTTGAGGCCAGGAGTTCAAGACCAGCCTGGGCAACATAGTGAGACCTTATCTCTACAAAACTAAAATAAAATAATAAATTAATAGCCAGACACAATGGTGCACACCTATAGTCCCAGCTGCTCAGGAAGCTGAAGTGGGAGAATGGCTTGAGCCCAGGAGTTTGACGCTGCGGTGAGCTATGATTGTGCCACTGAACTCCAGCCTGGTAGACAAGACCCTGTCTCTAAAAAATAATAACAATATATATATTACATGTATGTAATAGATAGATAGATAGAGCCTATATTTGCTAGGTGCTAGGGACACAGGTGTAAATAAAATAGATAAAATTCTCACGCCTGTAGAAAAAGTGATACAGTAGTGAGTTGGTGGGAGAAGTGGGTGAGTGGGGCTTTTCTTAGATAGAGCAGCCAGAGTTGATCTCCCTGGGATGTCCAACAATCCTGCTTGGCCCAAGACTGAGGGGTTTCCCAGGACATGGGAATTTCAGCGCTAAAACCGGGAAATTCTCAAAGTGGGAGGAGCTGGTCACCCTGGGTCTCTCTCTGAGGAACTGACATCTGAACCAAGGTTGGAAAAACGAGGAACAAAGGAAGACAGTTTGGAATTTGAAATCCCTAGGGTGAAAGCTGATGCAGAAGACACCAAAAGCAGGTCCTTGGGCATGGCTGTAGCCAACTGAAAGGGGAAGGGCAGTGAGTGGGTGGGGAGAGTGAGTCAGGGGATGATGGCGATCATTTTCTTGGAGGCCACAGAGGAGTCCCAATCGGACTGGGAAACCAGAGGAGGGGCCTTTTTTTTTTTGAGAGGGAGTCTAGCTCTGTAACCCACGCTGGACTGCAGTGGCTGATCTCGGCTCACTGCACCCTCTGCCTGCCAGGTTCAGCAATCCTCCTGCCTCAGCCACCTGAGTAGCTGGGACTACAGGTGCCTGCCACCACACGCAGCTAGTTTTTTGTATTTTTAGTACAGACAGGGTTTCTACAAACTGACCACGCTGCTCTCAAACTCCTGACCTTGTGATCCACCCACCTCGGCTTCCCAAAGTGCTAGGATTACAGGTGTGAGCCACTGCACCCAGCTTTTTTTTTTTTTTTTTTTTTTTTTTTGAGACAGAGTCTTACTCTGTCACCCAGGCCCAGGCTGGAGTGCAGTGGTGCAATCTTGGCTCACTGCACCCTCTACCTCCCAGGTTCAAGGGAGTCTCCTGCCTCAATTTACCCCACTCCACCCTGAGTAGCTGGGATTACAAGCGTACACCACCACGCCTGGCTAGCTTTTGTATTTTTAGTAGAGTTGGCCAGGCTGGTCTCAGGCTCCTGACCTCAAGCTATCCACCTGCCTCAGCCTCCCAAAGTGCTGGGATTATAGGCATGAGCCACCGGGCCCTGCCCCATGTAAGGTTTTAAGCAGCAGAGTGTGCAGGGGGCAAGGCAGGGCGGGGCGGGGGTAGTGGGTGGATGTAATCCGATCTGTGATTTATTTTATTTTGTTCATTAATTTTTTTTTTTTTTTTTTGAGACAGAGTTTCGCTCTTGTTACCCAGGCTGGAGTGTAATGGCGCGATCTCGGCTCACTGCAACCTCCGCCTCCTGGGTTCAGGCAATTCTCCTGCCTCAGCCTCCTGAGTACCTGGGATTACAGGCACGCGCCACCATGCCCAGCTAATTTTTTGTATTTTTAGTAGAGACGGGGTTTCACCATGTTGACCAGGATGGTCTCGATCTCTTGACCTTGTGATCCACCCACCTCGGCCTCCCAAAGTGCTGGGATTACAGGCATGAGCCACCGCGCCTGGCTTGTTCATTAATTTTTAAGAGACTCTTACTCTATCACCCAGGATGGAGTGAAGTGACACAATCATAGCTCACTGCACCCTCAGACCCTTGGGTTCAAGGGATTCTCCCATCTCAGTTGCCCAAGTACCTAGGACTACAGGCATGTGCCACCATGACTGGCTAATTAAAAGAATTTTTGTTAGACCGGGTGCGGTGACTCACGCCTATAATCCCAGCACTTTGGGAGGCCAAGGCGGGTGGATCACGAGGTCAAGAGATCGAGACCATCCTGGTCAACAAGGTGAAACCCTGTCTCTACTAAAAATACAAAAAATTAGCTCGGCATGGTGGCGCGTGCCTGTAATCCCAGGTACTCAGGAGGCTGAGGCAGGAGAATTGCCTGAACCCAGGAGGTGGAGGTTGCGGTGAGCCGAGATCGCGCCATTGCACTCCAGCCTGGGTAACAAGAGCGAAACTCCGTCTCAAAAAAAAAAAAAAAAATTTGTTTTGTAGAGACAGGGTCTTGAACTCCTGGCCTCAAGTGATCGTCCTTCCTTGGCTTCCCAGAGTCCCGGGGCTACAGAGATGAGCCGCCATGCCTAGTCTTAACTATGATTCTAAAAGTTCAGTTGAGGCCAGGATCAGATTGTAATCCTGTTTTGGGGGTAAACCCCCCAAGTGCTGAGGCAAGGATCTGAAGCCTCAGCCTGTTCCCATATGAATATTAAATCAGAAAAGAATTAGAAATGTAAGCACATAGTTATTCCTATATATAATGATTTAGTTATTCACATATAATCATAATGTTATATATACTCAATATAACGTTTTAATTTTACTAATGATTATTGGGTTATGGAGCATGGAACTGGGGTGACATCGTGAACAAAGTGATCCTAAGGCAAGACGCTCTAAGCCCTCTGTCACGCCCGCATAGGACTGCTGGAGGGCGCCCCGGCTGTGCTGTGCGACAGCGCCAGCACTGGGAAAGCGCCTGCTGTTTAGCCAGCTAGGGGAGATGTCCCAAATGGCCGAGACGTGTCCTTCCTGGGGGAG